CCCTCTTCCCTTCCATCCCCAGTTTACTACCTGACTTTGCAATGTGCTGCCCAAGACATCTCCACCTCCTATGCACCCACTGCACCCACACTTGCTCCACCTCCTCAGGACTTCCTTGAACCAGGGGCAACAGACTTGTTTGTGTTTTCTGTTACTTGCAACACACCAGGTGCTTGGGGATAAACCCCAGTCAAGGTTTAACAGAGAGAATAGAAATTCTGATTCCAGATTTTAAGTAAATCTCTGTTAACCTGTATCTTATTATTTCTCCTGGTCTACTTACTCCTGCATCATCAAACTATCATAAAACTTTGATGGCTCTTAATTTTATTTCAGTGAAGACAGACATCTACCTTTCACCCTAATGGCCAGGAATGTTCATTCTTAGGTTTAGATTAGTAAGAATGATTAGTCCAATAATCTTTTTTCTTTTATTTCTCCATCACCATTTCCTTTCACTCACCTTTGTAAACACATCTGATTTTATCAACTGTCCCTTTCAAACAGTATCAAGGAAATTTTGTCAAATATCATAAAAGGTTAAAAAAAAGTGGCCCCCATTCTCTCATCAAAACAGGATGGTCCAGGTTCTTGTTGCAAAATAGTGGGTGATGAAATCATTCCAGTTGAGGGACTACCCAGACAAGAATATCTTATTTTCTTTTTGGTCTCCAAAATATACTGTTATTCATTGATTCTGGAGTTTGAGAAAATTCATCCAAATTATCATCTTGTAAGATGCATAATCCATTTGGCTATTATCATCAGAGTCTACAACACTGCCATCTCTTCTGAATTGCCAGATGATTGTGAAAACATTTTCCTCCATCAAAACATTTTCTCCTTTTTACCATTTTGTGCAAAAGGTGGCAGGTTCTGTCTTTTCAACCATACGCACCAGGAACCATGATAAAACCAGAAAGATGGCATCCTATCTTTCATAGCTCTTGAAAGATGATGTAATATTTGAATCAAAACGCTAGAAAAATTCAGGGTGACACAATCATGACAAAAATTCAGGGTGACACAAGGGTGAGTGAAACACATCCTTCGAGTGTTTCACTCATTCTTCCATTTTCTGGTTATTTTTGTGTTTTTTAGCATATACTGTAATTCATGAGTAACAATGAAATAATTCCTAGAATGATTACATAGAAAATGTGTCAAAATATAAGGGAATAAGATCCCAAGAAGTATCTTAAATGTCTAAGTGCTCACAACGGCCCCAGATGGTAAATTCAAGATAGGCTATGTTTTATTCTGTTTTTGCTAAAAAGTAAATTGCCTCCTTGATCTTTGGAAGAACAAAAATCATGAAATATCAATCCTTACCAATAGTTAGAACTGCTCAGAAGAAAAAAAACTTACAGGCTAAGATTATGGGTCAAAGGATGCAATTAAAACTGAGGATTAAATCACATTAATAGACCTGGTCATTTCACAAAGGTTTTCAAAGTCTGACTCATTAGAAAAATGCCCCACAAAAAAAGTTCTTCCTTCATCCACTTGAAATCCAACAGTTCACAGCCCACAGTTGAAACCCAGCCAAGGAGAGCTTCCTAGTATTCCAAGGCCAGGGTGTCCACCTCTAGGGTCCACCAGCACTCCCCAGGAGACCAGGTGCCCCTGGCCCACAGCATCTTCTCCTGGAGTTCACCTCCACACACACAATAAAGCAGCCAAAATTATGACCCAAGGAAACCAGACAGGGCATCTGGGATACTATTCAGGCTCAGAGCAAGGCACTAGCAAAACTCAGACCACAAACAGACACTTGATGTTTACTGTTTTGTATTCTTTCCAGTAAATGGATTTATGGTGAGGGATACAGTGTTCTTATTCTCTGGGGATTTTTGAAAATTCTCTTTTATCTTTGGTGTTTCCAGTCAATCCATGATTACAGCTTGGCTATTAATTGATGACAGAGAGGAAATGTCTAATTCACAAAAGTGGTGTGTTCCAAAACTTTGGGATTGGCTGTTTGGAGAACTCAGAATATATTTTCCTCCAATAAACAAAATTATAAATGATGGTGGGGTTTCCAGACCAGCCCCATGAAACATTTCTCAACCCATCACTTTGTTGAAGCCTTGTACTTTCAGAGCAAAAATCAGCAGAAGGCAATTTTGTTGCAGTACAAATAAACAAACTCAAATACAGAAGACAGAGTCTCCTTTATCCCAAATTATATTAAATAAAACTACCAGTTTAATGAAAAGAAGGGAAGAGATTGAGGCTTTTTAGGGAGAGACTTCTGCTTTCAAGATTTGGGAGGCTGACAGCAGTGGTTTGTTATTCTGTCTAGCCAGTTTCACTTTGCTACCTTTTTTCATGTTCCTTCACGTAGGCCTGAAGCAAAGAAGCTGTACTTAGATGTGGCTCACACAGGAAGCTAGCAAAAGAATGGGGAGGAAAACCAAAAAGTTTGAAAGAGGTTTCCTTGATGGGAGTTAAAAGCATGTCATTGTGCGAAGACTGTCTAAATCAGCATTAAATGACCTGCTCTGGACACCCAGCAGCAGGAGACCAAAGGCCCTGAGTCAGGTAGTCTACTGTTTGCTCTGCCAGTTCCCTGTCTAACCAGAAGGTGGTGCTATCAGCCCAGTAGTCCCAAGGGGGCGGGGCCTGCAGTAGGAGGTGCTCTCCACGTGGAAGCCACGTTTCCACCCAGGCTCTGTGATTCACAGAAAGCCTGTATTAGACAGAATGTACCAACCTACCCCTTATTCCTCATTCACATAACAACTGCTCCCACCCTCTAAGACCCCATCTGCTCACCCTCCGGGCAAGAACACCTTCCATCCTGCTAGGCAACACAACACACAGCTAAATTCTAAGGAATGGCCTACCATTCCTCCCATCCATACTCTTTCACAATGTCAGCACTGGGCCCCTGACATTTTCCTAATTCCAACAGGAATTTCAATCTAAGAGTCTTGTCCTGCAATACCATCAGGATGAGAACCAGATCTTCCATAGGGCGCAGAGATTTGTCCTAAAGATTTGGTAACAGGGCCCCAGATTCCCAGCTTTATCTTCCACTTTCCCACCTGGGCAATCTCTATTCCAGATAGCAGCCCTCCGTGCATTTACCCTGCTTCTCTCCCTCCTGCAATGTCCTTTCTTCTCCTTACCACTGTCGTTACTCTCAGTAGCCTCTCCCACCTTTGAAAGTCTATCTCAATGGTCCCCTCCCTAAATCTACTCACTAACTGAATCTAACTGGTGAGATATAGTTAGAAAAATGTAATCCCCTGTATCAACCACAGACCCCAGAGGTCACCAGGCAGGCCTACTAATCCTTGCCTTGGCAGCTTGGGCCTTAAACTGGGCACAAGGGCCCATCCAGACAGACTCTCTTGCTGACCCTGGGGCAACACTAGTCAGTCTGGCCTTGCTCCTCCCAAGTCTCAATTCCCATCTAGGTCAGACTCCAATCTAGAGAGACACCAAAGCCACAAGCTCTATGTCTGCTCTCAATTCATGTTAGCTTTATAATGATAATAATTACTATGATTATTATTGCTGCCCCTTCCCCACCCCCATTCTCATCAGTCACAATCTGCCAAACCAGGCCTGAGTTACAGAGCTAGACAAATGAGGGGGAGATCAAACAAAGTCATCAATCTGAGCCCCTAACCCAACACTGCCACCCCAGGCCTGCTGCCTAAACTGACTATCCCAGAAAACTGCCTAATGATTCTGGCAGAATTTTCTCAGCCCACACGAGGCTGACCCATGGACATTATTTTCTGGATGTTTCACTCTGGCCAAGTGGCCTGGAGCTAAAAAAATAAATAAATAAATAAATTTAAGACCTACTACCTGTTTTTAGGACACAGAAAAATTTAGCTACTGCTTTGCTTTTTGTTCTAACAAGCAGTTGGCTCAGGCAGGAAACTTGGATGTCTCCAGTGGGGCTAGAACAAATGACCTGGAGATGAATTTTTATATTATGCAGGTCCCCAAAGGCCAGGATAGCAGGAGCCAAGTGGCCTCATCTGCCTGGCCTCTATCAAGTCCTCTCAGAGTACCTGCATCTGGCAAAGGTGGGCTGGCCCTGCTCCAGGGGCTTCTCTTATTTCTGTTGCCCAAAAAACACCAGGTCAGGTGCCATTTATAATGTTAATATCGCTCATGTCCTCACCCACAGAAAAATGTTCCAAGGAAAGAAAGCCTGCTCCAGGAAATACAGGGCTTATGGAGTCTACTAGGAGGTCAAACGCTGCTGACTTTCTCTTTCTTTCTTTCTTTCTTGCCTTTCTTTCTTTTTTGTTTGCTATGTTTTGTTTTTAAAGAATCTACAGGAGATGGTTTTTCATAAACTAATAAAGGAAGCTAACTATGCAAACAAAAGCAGGGTGGGAAAGGCGAACCACCCATTTTAATGTACTCATACCCCACCTCCTTCCACAAAAGATCTGAGGCTGCAAGAAGTAATTGCTATTGGAATCATGGGCATGATTGGTCAGTGCCCTGCCTCTGCTGCAGACTCGAACCTTCAAAGTGTCCATTTATTGGGGCTCTGAAAGCCGGGCGGGGATGGTGGACTGCAGCTCCTGGCGCTGCAAACCAAGGAAAAGTCCACTCTGACGGCGTTCACCCCACCCCCTCCTCTTCTTTCCCCCACTCTGCAACCCTCCTCCTGGACTCAGGGCCGCAGGATGCGCTTGACCACTGCGGTCAGCGGCGGCCACCCTGGACCCCCACCTCCTCCTTTGCCTTCCCCTTCGCCCAAGAGCAGCCAGGACCTGGGAGAGAAGCTTTGGCAGTCAAACGGCGGCCTGCCGAGGATGATCTGACCCCCAGCGTCTCCGCACCCCCTCCCCCAACCGAGTCACAAGGCAGCCCCGAAGAGGTGGGCAGTGCGCCCCACCGCGGAGACCCAGGGTTGTGTCGCTGTGGGCCACGGGTGATGAAACCTTCCCGGCGCATTACCACAGAGGGTGCTGGCCGGGAGCGGGGCGGAGTGGGGAGTGGGCGCTGGTACCCAGGCTCACCTGTTCTCCAGCGGGAGGGCGGGGGCCGCGGGGGAGGGGCGCGGGAGGCGCGTCAACGTGGGGTGCGTGCAGCCCGGCGCTCCGCCGCGGCGCTCGCGCCCCCGCCCTCCCCCAGCCCTGCGAGCCCCCAGAGCTGCGCCGTCGGACTGACGGTGCCCGGAGCAGTTCCTGTCCCCGGCCCCGGCGCCGGGGAGACGTGAGCGTGCACACGTACACACACAGCAGGGGAAGAGGCGCCCCGAGCGGCGCCCAACTTTCTCCCGGCTTCCTCGGGCCGGGGGAGCCAGCCGCCCGCGGCTCTCCAGCCCGGGCTGCGGCGGGGGAGGGAGCTCGAACAAGAAAGGAAAAGCGATGGAGAGTGTTTCCCCAGTTTTTGTTTTGCTTTTTTTTTTTGGGGGGGGGCGGTTCTTTCTTTTAACCATTTCTATCCAATGGCTGGAGAGGGAACCCGGAGCCGGGCGGCGAGTAGCGCTTTGGGAAAATGGGAGAGTGTGTTTGGAGACGCGTAAAGTTGCCTTTCAAGCTCAGGCCTCCAGGGCACACGATGCTCCGTGGCAGGCTGACTCAGGGCTGCCTGGGCCTCCCTGCCACCCGACTGGAAATGATGCAAGTCCAGACTGTCACCTGGATCCCCGAAGCCCAGCCCGGAACCTGTGCGGATGGGGGAAGGGCGAGGAACTGAGACCCTAGGTGTCGCGCGGCCCCCCCAAGCAGGACAAAAAGAAAGAGGGGACACGGGACAGTCGCCCAGGCTGAATCTTTTTTCTTGGGATCTGCTTCTCTCAGCAATACTTTGAGTTTGGAGTGTGTGTGTGTGCGTGCAATGGAAAACGTCACAACGCCAGGAATTCCCATATGTGCTCACTTTGCCCCCAAAATCGCTGTGCCCGGGAAACTCCTCCAATCTGTCAAGGCCTCGGGACTGGGAATCTCATGGAAAAAAGGAAACTTTCCCAGCCCGGTGCGGGTGTGAAGCCGGCCGGGGGAAGTCAGGGGACTCGGTCCCCGGGCACGACGTCCCCTCTCGCTCTTCTGGAGTACAGTTCGAGCTGGGACGCGCTTTTATTTTTCAAATGCGATCGGCCATTGCCCCGGAGCGCCCGCACACGCGCATGCATGTCCCGCCGCGCTCCCACACACTCCCTCGCGCACGCACACGCGTGGCCGCAGCCGGGTCGCCAACTTTGCCGGGCGCTGCGGGCGGCGCGCAGCCTCCTCCAGGAGTAGTTGGGCGCAGGCCCCGCCCCCCGGCCGTGTTGTCAAACGGGCCGGGGTCTCGGATTGGTCCAGCGGCCGGGACAACACCTGCTCGACTCCTTCATTCAAGTGACACCAGAGCTTCCAGAGATATTTGAGGCACCATCCCTGCCATTGCCGGGCACTCGCGGCGCTGCTAACGGCCTGGTCACATGCTCTCCGGAGAGCTACGGGAGGGCGCTGGGTAACCTCTACCGGAGCCGCGGCCGCGAGGCGGAGGGAAAAGGCGAGCTAGGAGGAAGAGTGGGAGGAGAGGGGAGGAGGAGGGGAGCACAAAGAATCCAGGTCTCCGGGGCGGGAGGTTTGCAGCTAGAACCATGTGTGCCGAGCGGCTGGGCCAGGTCGTCACCCTGGCTTTGGTGTTGGCCACCTTCGACCCGGCACGGGGGACCGACGCCACCAACCCGCCCGAGGGACCCCAAGAGAGGGGCTCCCAGCAGAAAGGCCGCCTGTCCCTGCAAAACACAGGTAAGTGCGTGCGCCCGGTGAAGGGGAGCTGCGGGGAGACACCCGGGGCACCCACGCAGCTCGTTCCGCGCGTTTCTCGGGGACCTGGGCGCCTACTCAGGGTCGCGCAAACTCTTGGGCGCCTGCGGGACGTGCAAAGCTGAGCGCGAGGCGAGGCGAGGTCTGCGCCAAGGCTCCGCGCGCCCGGAATCCGCACGTGCTGGCGGGGTGATGAAATGGCTGGGGCACGACTTGTTGCTGTCCTCCCCAGGGTCGAGGGTAAATGAGGCTGCGCCTGACGCGGCCACTGCCGGCTCGGGAGTCCGAGGTCCGGCGCAAAGCGCCCAGCTCCATCCTGGCTCCCCAGCTAGAGGCGAGGGGGTCCCGACTGCGCCCAGCCCCGGGAGAATTCCTTTCCCTACCAGCCCGGCCGCGGCAGGACCCCCTGTCTCCCTCCCCAAATGAGATGCCCCACATCCGAAAACTTCGTGGCCCAGACTAATTACATTGCGAACTTTCCCCGGGGGGAGGGGGGGTACGTTGCTTCTGGAAAACCGAGAGTGAGGTGGAGGCGGGGTGGCGCACAGCGTACCTTCGCGGTGCTCTACGGTCCCCGGCTCCAGCGCAGGTCTGGAAGCAAAGCTCTGGTGACACGACCCTAACCGCGGGCCGCCACAGCTCCACCGGTTCTCTGCTAACGCGCAAGCTGCGGAGCCGAGCCAGGCGTGCATGGCACGGGACTGGCCCCTTTCCCAGCACCACGGAGAGAAAGAAAATCTGCCTACGACTCCTTTACTCTACTGTGCCCCCCTTTATTTTCGGGGGCCTGCGAACCCGGTGGCGACAAGCGTGCGCTCCCTGCACGAGCAAGAATGCATGAGTGCCCGTTAGGGACGCCCCAAGTAAGTGAAACGCTGCCCTGCGCGCTCCTGCCTGGCGCGCCGGGGCCGCGCGTGGGATCTTCCCCCGAGCTCCCACCTCCTTATGCGGGTGCCAGCACCTCCCGGCCCGCGCCCAGCTCATCCTAGGACAGACCCTCGCCCACCCTTCCCCCCTCTCCAGCGCTTTCCCTGAGAATTGAACGTGATTCTCAATAGTCGGTGACCCTCAACAAATACACGCCCCTCATTCTCTCGGTAGATTTAATCTCAATGCGGATTATCGCCTCCGAACCCGCCCTTCTTCCAAAATATACTTTTCTGATGTAATTTTGTGGTTGGTTTAAATCAGGGGGTTGGGGAGGGGGAGGGAGAGAAGAGAGACTTTGCACATGGCAGCCTGACAGTTAACTCCCAGAGTCTGTCCTTTCAGAGAGACGAATTAGGGTCACATTCTGCTGAAGGAGGGCGGCTAACTCCCTGGTCTCAGGACTTCGAAGAGATTGAGTGCGAGCTCACAAGTATCTCGATTTACAAGGAGCCTCCAACTGCAATGGTTGCATTTCTGAAGGCTAGACCCATCTGATTGGACTCCTGAGCCTGCTGGGAAACCACAGCTTCTAGAGCCTGGTCTTTATAATGTGGATGGTTTGGAGAAGCTGCCTTAATAGGAATTTTGTTTTGATTTTTAGGTGTTGAATCATAAAACTGAAATGAAACTGCTTTCTGGATGCTCTCATTTAGGGGTCAGGAAGGAAATGGCTGTGATTTAATAGCAGCTGCTTTAAGATCTAAGTAGAAAGTGGGTATTTCATTGATGAAGTACATAGGGTAGAGCAAACTGACCAATTAGAATCTTGTGTGAGTGAGTTTAAAAAGCCGAAATATGTGCTACACTCAAATTAAGTTTTCACACAAATACCTTAATAAGATGCGAAGGATGGAAAATTGAATGCTCAGAACTAACTTCTGGTTGTGACTTTTATAATGTAGATTTGGCAAGTGCTTTACAAATATTTACAACTACTGATTACTTTTATACATAGATTAAATGATGAAATTTTCTTTCCCTAGCATTTAAGATCCTGAAATAGTCTTTTCTAAATTTTTCCCTAATTACTCTTTCAGTCCTTACTAAAAGTTTTATTCCAACTACCCCCTCTGCATCCCCCAGCATGGCTGATAATTTTGTATATATTTGTATGTCATTCTCATTTTAGCGGAAATCCAGCACTGTTTGGTCAACGCTGGCGATGTGGGGTGTGGCGTGTTTGAATGTTTCGAGAACAACTCTTGTGAGATTCGGGGCTTACATGGAATTTGCATGACTTTTCTGCACAACGCTGGAAAATTTGATGCCCAGGTAAAAACCGTGTAACACTCGAAAAACGTTTGGTGCCGCGCACTTGAAATGTTCATGGCCCAGACTAATTACATTGCGAACTTAGTCGCAATGGCGCCTTAGCTGATCTTCAAGGTGTGTTTCGGCGCTTGCAACAGACATCCCAGAGGTGCCTTAAAGCCCTTGTCTCCCAGATCCACAGCAGGGGTTCTGCCCTCTGGAGCAGCCATGTAGGCCAAATCCTTCTACACGCTTAGTAAGCTGTGTGCCCGCTTGCAAAGTGGAGTAGAGACTGAGTTGAATAATTGTCTGAGGAGGCTGAGCACAGAAGACAAAAGTCATAACAAGTAATAAACGCCTTCTGAAGAGGACACATGACACCTGGCTAGAACCCCAACCCCAAGGCCCATCAAGTTAGAACAGAAGGTGGAGGGGGTAGGATAGGGACTCCAATTATACATTCCAAAAGTTATTCACGGAAGAATAAGTGAAACACAAAATTCATAGACATTCATCAGCCCTAGTGGGTGGGTAAGCAGGCAATGCGAATAGGTCAGGACCCCCAGAAGGGCAGATTTTATTCCCTCCTAAGCAGCAAGCCCTCCTCTCCCAACCTGAAAAATTAAAACCCTGAATAAGCTTTGCTCTATATAATAAATATAGGCAAGGCCTGACCCACTTTGGTTCTCCCAGGGTCCCAAGGGTAAAGCCGAGTTGCTGCTTGGGGCAGGCTAAGAACCCAACAAGCAATGTTAGGGCTGCAGCGAGGACCATCCAGATACATGTCAGGTGATCTGGGGCCTTCAGCTCACATTCTCCATGTACTTCACAGCCCAGCTATGCCCTTGAAAAGTGACCTCTCATTCCATCTCCTAAACTTCCTCCTCTCCCATTTCCTTGGAGAGCAATGACAACACTTGGATGAGGCCAACAGTTTAGGTGTGATTTATGAACACCACCAATCACCGACTACTGACATCCTGTAGGGAGCCTGCTAAAGCTGATGCATGGGAACCAGAAAGTGACGCGACAGGGCTGGCAGCCCACACCATAGAGGATGTGGGGTGGCAGGAGGGGAAACACAAACCAGGGAAGGAAAGAGTTAGAATGTTTGAACTTGAGACTCCCTAATAAAGCATCCCCTCTGGATTAACTGGAATTAGGAAATCCGGAGGAAAGATGTGTATTTAAGGGCAATCCCACAGGATGTCAGGGAAGAATACCAAGACCAGATTGCTGCAGCCCGCACATAAATTAATCTTCCTTTTCTTTTCCCACCAACAGGAGTAAGATCTCAAGTTAGAAGCATCCCTTTCAAGTCAATTCTCAGCATGTAATTTCTTAATGAACCGGCACACCCTACCCTCCATCCTATTTGGCTCCTCCTGGAGAGTTGGAGGAAAGGAGCCGGGGGAGGTGGGTTTTGGTGATTAGACACTATAGGTAGACAGTTCCATTGCTTCTAAAGGAGAAAAGCAATGTGCCAGGGGCCTTCCCACTTTAACCTAAACCCATTACTTTCTCAACTCAGTAACTTTGTCTAAAACATAGAGGGTGACCCTGCAACAACAGCTTGTTTCTATAGCAATGGGTGGTGTGGGATGTCTGGGTAGGTATCCCACACTGCCTCGGCCAAGTCAGGCCGATAAGGGAGCTAACGGCTAAGGCTGGCCTCCACACCCCCAACAGCTGTCTCCTTTCTAGGATAAGACAATCTAAGGGGGTTGCCAGGAAAGAGGTCTGTGGGCCAGATGTATGCAGGGAGCATGGGGGAGGGGCTGTCCATGGGGGCAGTTCAGACTCCAGGCCTGCCAGGCAAAATGCCAGGAGGGCTTTCTAGAGGCGATAATCTTAACAGTTTAAAGGAATCAATTCCTTTCAAAAAAGGAAAAGAATGCTCCTTCTTAAGGGACAGGAGGAGAGGAGACAGCAGGGGCCTGGGTGGTGGGAGGCAGTTAGCAGCCCATCTTGACTCACTTGTGGGACAGAAGGAAGAAGGAAAGGTGTAAGTGAGCTCCAGGAAAGCATGCACCTTCCACTGGGGGTTTGAGGGGGTGGACTTACCAGGACCCACCAAGGAGGTGGGGATTTGGACCTGGCAAGATTAACCCTCATGTTCCCAAAAAGTTGTCTCCCAATAGCCTACACTAGGCTGCCTTGAGGACAGACAACCAAGGGAGCTCCCTGAGGAGGGGGAACTAGAACAGCTGGGGAGGAGAGAGGCCAGTGAGCCCCTTACTGAAGTAACATCCCTTTTGACCGAATGCTGGAGGTACCACGTCAGCCTGGCATCAGCCTCCAGGAACCTCCTGATGTCCCATCAGCCTGTCACCGAAAGGATATCAGTTGGGGGCAGGGTCTTGAGGTTCAGCTGTCAAAAAAATCGTATGCAAGGCCTGGTAGGGGGAATGTCTAAATGTTGTAACCAGGTCTCATCTCTTCTGCCCCTCTCTCCCTTCCCTGTTCTCAGGGCAAGTCATTCATCAAAGACGCCTTGAAGTGCAAGGCCCATGCTCTGCGCCACAGATTCGGCTGCATTAGCCGGAAGTGCCCGGCCATTAAGGAAATGGTGTTCCAGCTACAGAGGGAATGCTACCTCAAACATGACTTGTGCTCCGCCGCCCAGGAGAACACACGAGTGATGGTGGAGATGATTCACTTCAAGGACTTACTGCTGCAGGAGTGAGTGTGTCCCCTGGGGAACCCAGGGAGGAGGGAGGCCCCCTGGACTTGGAAGAGAATCTTATTCGATCTTGTTTTAGAAGCTGAACTTTCCTGTCAGTTGGAGAGGTGGCAGTTGGCCTCAGTAGGTTGCACTGACTTCCCCCGGGAGTCCCTTTCCTGCTGACCTTCAGGAAAATCCCAAGCCATATCCACTATAGGTTGCAAAAATCATAAGCAGTTGAAGCAGGAAAACTCAGCCAAGCACCCGAAAGTTCTGTGGGTATTCAAGTAGCTGTGTAGATGCCCCCATAGACAGCCGAGAGTGAATAACATTTGCTTCTCCCCCTGCCAGTGATTGGGCTTGGTGCTCTAGAGGAATTTCTCACTTACACCTCACAGCCACCCTGTGAACTAGGTACTGTGCTCATCCACATTTCACAGAGGAGAAAACTGAGATTCAGTGCAGTGAAGGTCACACAGTGCAGGACAAGCAAAGTCAGCATAGCAGCCAGGCTGCCCAGCCCCACCACCTCCCCTCTGACATGCTGAATGCTAAAAGCAACAGCTGTGTTTCCTGCCTCCATAAGCACTTCTCTCCTTTAGAAGTTCCAGTTTACCTTCACTAACACATCCAAACCTCCCAGAGAAAATGCAAAACAAGTGTCAAAAACTTTAATCAGCTAAATACTTTTCAGCCAAAATGAGAAAATAGAAATTTGTTTATTTGAACACATGCAATTCAGTAATAAACCCAGGATATCTCATTCTTTTAAAAACACCCTGTCTAGAGGACCCTACGTCTTACAGGGTGCTAAATAAAACCTGTCATTGCACAGCTACTCCTAACATGAAGCATGGCTGATCACCCAGAAGGTGATGATGGTTCCTTCCTCAGAAATCCAGGCCAGAGAGCAAGCCCCCAGCTAAGCAGCCCAGCACAGGTCCTTGCTGGCTTGATGCCACCGTTGGTCTGCGCCCGGTGACTCATGGGGCGAAATCAGTACAGTTTGATGAACTCTTGCGCCTCAGTGTGTACCATGCCCTTCCCCCAGCGGTGTCACCAAACAGGCTGTTCCCCACTCCACCCATTACATTTAGATCATGGAGGACAGCCCCCATCATCACCTGTCACTTTCCATTTGGTTAGGAGGTTCTAGGTCTCTTGAATCACCTCCGGTGTGAAGTTACAATTATAAGCTTCACCATGAATCCCCAAAGGCAGCTCTTGCCAAGGGCAAAACAATGTTGTTTTTTTCCTTGAGTTACACTGATGCCTCAAAAATATTTTTTGATTTTTCCGAATGCTAGAACAAAGCCACGATAACTGCAATCATTTTCTGAGTGGGCCAGGCCCATGCCCAGGGGCTTTCTCTGGGTAATCTCAAGTATTTCCCAACAATGCTACAAGATAGAAATTACTATCCCCACATAATAGAGGAGAAATGTGAAGCAAAGAGGTTAAAGATCTTGCTCTGAGGTTTGAGTCCTTCTTTCCAACTTGGAATTGGTGTTAACAATGACTAAAACCAGTTGGCAAGCACAGATGTCAAACCCCCTCACTCCTGACCTGTTCTCTTCTCACTAGGCCTGCTGAAGGCCCATTGGCCACTAAGTATGGTGGTTTGGGTGGGGGCAGCGGGGCGGGCTCAGAGTAACAGAGTGGATCTTTTCCTCAACCGTGTCCCCATTTTACAAGGAGAGGTCTGTGGAACTCCCTTCAGGGAGCCCCTGGACAGGCAAGCAGCCCAAGGAGAAACTCATGAAGTTCACTTGCCCACACTCAAGCCAGCCCTTAGACCTGGATTGTTGGCCTCAAGAGTGGGTGATGGGATGCTAGTTTATAAGTCTATGCTACATTCTTAGAGCACAAGAAGTCCTTGTCTATTGGAAGAAAAGTCTTCTTTGTAGAAACTGAAAGCTTCCAAGCTTTTCCAGGTCCCTGGAATTTAAGAGAGTAAAGCACTGGGCTTTCTGGTGTCTCTTCCATGGAAATGTAGCCATGGGGCCTTTACTTCCAAAGGGCTCTTTGAATCATTTACAAAGAAAGACAAGAAAATTAGAACCAAATTTACTATTCCTTTTAGAAAGTAAGAAGTCACGGGCGCCCCAGAATCCTTCAACCCAATCCCCATCCAACCACAAAATCTCACATTCAGTTCAAGTGGCTTCCTTCAAGATTTCCACTCCCTTCAGCTCCCCTCACCCCTTCCCACCCTACTTTTCCCTATCAGCCACCTCGGCCACCACACACCCGTCACTGGCAGTCTTCAGGCTTTTGGAGCCTCCTGGCACATCCCCCTCCAAGTATTTTTAAAAATCCTTTTGCCCTGCTGACACCCAGTTGAGAGAGCTGGGCTTTGTCATTAGACACCAGCTGAGCCAGCAGCCTGAGAAGGCAGCGCGCCAGCTCAAAACATGGCTTTGATGAACACACACCCCTCCCCACAGTTCACAGCTTTCTCTAAGGGCAAGAGATAGTGGGCACCAGTCCAGCTCCAGGACCCGCCGTGAGGTTCGGAGAGCTCATCTGCAGGCAGAACGCCCTGGCAAAGGAGGCCAAGAGGCAATTCATATAGTCCCAAGAGAACCCTCTCCTTACTCTGGCAAATGAAACGTATAGAAGAGCATCAGTCTAGTGTCCCCAAGATAGACAGATACTCAGCCCTCGCAATTTGCTTATCTAGCCTCAGATGAGTGCCAGGAACGATCTGGTGCTAACCTTGATTATGCTGTAGCAGACAGACTCTGTGCACTTAAGCTCCCTGAGGCCGGCATTTGTAGTTCTCCAACAGTGGAAGGAAACCAACATGCATGGAGCCTTGCCCTGTGCTGCCTCGTGCCCTCATCTCATAGCCCAAGAAGTCTTCCCACTGGCCTTGTCACTGTTGGGACCTGCCTGTCAGCCCTGCAGACTCTGACTCCAGTGACACCAAGTAGGCCTTAAAGGGCAGCTTGATCTCTACAGCCAAAACATCCCTCTTCTCCCCTCTCTGCCCAGCCCAGGCCTTCCCAGCCCAGAAGTTTCCAAAGTCCAACTTCTCCCCATTTGTCTCCACTTTTACACTCATGAAATCAGGACAGTTCACTCAATTACAACTTGGGGACTAATTCATAAAAATGGCAGATCACAGATATTAAAACACTATCCACTCTTCCTCTATAGTAACTGCCAGCTTGCAGAGAAGAGATTAAATGGCTGTAATGCAGCCAGTCAGGTGGTCCAGAGGGGAAAAGTGTCAGAGATAAAAAAAAAGTCCTGCTGTTTCTTAAAAATGATCTCACATGGCAGCGTGAATCTCTGCTCAAGGTGATGGGCCAGAGCTGTGATGCTCATGGTCAGATGTACCCATAAACTTTGCTAGCCAAGGACTGCTTAAAAATGCTGGCTAGCCACATGAAATCTTGCAGACACCCCCCAAGCAGGGGCTTTTTAGCAGTCAGTGGATGTAAGAAAGGCTCAGTGAGTGGCCATGAAGGCCACTGCAGGAAACACTTGTACCATGTGGCTCCATAAATATAAAAAGCAGGCCCACTGCACCCACCAGATACACTTTCATCTCTCACTCTCATGGGGAAAGTTGACATGATATAGCCATTCCTCCCTCCTCTAGCACCTTCCCTGAAGAACCACCCAGGACAGCTGGAATGGCCTAGGCAGCTGGCTCTCCTCCCAAAGCCTTGCTGCCAGCCCTCACCCCCAGGGCTGGGAAAACAGGTTGGAAGAACAGAGATGCTCAGTTAGTCACTCCTCCACTGCAAAAAACTAAAGCACTCCACGGGAAAGCCCAGGGAGCCTGGCCTCCCCCGAAACTTTGCCTATGCCAGACTCCTGTGGGTCCAGAGGCTTCCAGTAACTTCCAAAAGTATCAGCCTAAACTTGGGGCAGCACAGACAGGGCAAATGAATGCTTGGGCACCTCCCTCAGAGGAGGCTCACCTGGTGCAGGTGGTAAAGCCTGCTGGCCCCCCTGAGGCCACACTGGGGCTCCCAGAAACAAGTCTGGAGCCCTCTCCTAATCATCTCTGGCTCCTTGGTATTGAACACTGCCCCCAAGACTCATCTCCACTCTAACTAATATCCACCTAGTTGGCACACCCAAAACATGTCCTAAATATGTCTCTCCTGTGCTCCTGTCATTATTCACACAGCTGCTTGCCTGGAATTCTCCCCAAGCTTCTTAGAGCTTCTTCCTTTCAGCAGCCCTAGTTTGACCCTCCGCCCCTGTGAACTGTCACTGGCTTCTTTTCCTGCGGCAAACTCTATCCCCAGGCTTCTTTTCCTGCGGCAAACTCTATCCCCAGCCTCAAGCTCCAGTGCCTGGCATGGAACCTAGCATGTAATGACCACCCAGTAAATGTAGGTTGAGGTCAGTGCACCATAGAATCTGGGGGGAGATCTGAAACAACTCCAGATAGGTCTTGCCCCAAGCCAACCCAAGTCAAGCACTGGCCTGTCTCTCTTCACTGGTGTCCTCATTGCACACTGCGGCCCATGCAGGGCTCAGTCCATCCTCCATCTCTCTCCACTCTCCATCTCTAGACCCTACGTGGACCTGGTGAATCTGTTGCTGACCTGCGGAGAAGACGTGAAGGAGGCCATCACACACAGCGTTCAGGCACAGTGTGAACAGAACTGGGGAAGCCTGTGCTCCATCTTGAGCTTCTGTACCTCAGCCATGCAGAGGCCCCCCACGGCACCCCCCGAACGCCAGCTCCCAGGGGACAGAGCCAAGCTCTCCAGACTCCATCACAGGGAAGCAGGTCATCACCTCCCAGAGTCCAGCAGTCGGGAGATCAGCCGAGGTGCCAAGGGCGAGCGAGGGAGCAAGAGTCACCCAAATGCCCATGTGCACTCCCGGGGCAGAGCTGCTGGCCATCGGGCCCAGGGAACTTCTGGAAGCAGTGAGTGGGAGGATGAACAGTCTGAATATTCTGATATCCGGAGGTGAAACCAAAGGCCTGGCCAGGAAATCTTTCCTCCATGCCATCCATTTTCTTCTCTATGGACATTCCAAAACATTTGCCATTTAAGAGGGGGGATGTCACACGCAGGATTTGGTGGGGATTGCGGACTTGATGAAGGTGTATGTTAGCAGTATGAATAGGGGAGGCGGAGGCTCCCTTGGCAGCGGGCGAAATCTTGGTTGTGCCCGGCGGGTCCGCGTTTGTACCTGCCCAGGTGAGTGCGCCACGTGTCCTCCTCGAAACTTTGTCTTCTTTCCATCCGTGGGGCTGCTGGGCTGCGGTCTGCGGTTTACTCTGCTGTGGAAGAGGTAGACGGGAGGGGCAAGGGTAAGCAGGCCCACCCACCCAGACCACGCACTTGGTGCTGGGCCCTGCCCCCCGAAGCTTCCAGGGCTGTCTTGGAGCAGGGCAGCTGGACCGCATCCAGCTGGTTGCAGGAGCGAATGTGAAAATCTCGCTGGGAATCAGAAGGGTGGAGAGGAGGCAGGGACCGTGTGGGTGCTGTTACCAATCCAAAATTCAGTTTCTTGCCTGGGACCTTGATGTTCGGAGAGACTTGGGGTGGGCAGGGGGAGGGTTCTAAGTGTAATTTCTGAGCCAGTGTTCTGTCTGGGGGACGCTGTCCACTGTCCGAGGAAGTGGCCCCATGTGTTTGTATTTTAACCACTGCTTCAAATCTCTATTTCACTTTTTTATTTATCCAATTACATCTACATATCTGTCGTCTAAATAAATGGCTTTCAAACAAAGCAACTGGGTCATTAAAACCAGCTCAAAGTGGGGGCGGGGGGGAGCAGCCTATCTTTTTGGGACTGATTTTTTTTCAGTGCTATTTTAAAAGGAATCAGAGAGCAACAACGCTGTGTAGTTGATTGCCTAGTGTGGAGTTGTCGCCACTTAGGGCAAACCCTAAGCCTGGAGGACCTGGCACGTAGGAGGAGCTCAGTTAACAGATTTCCCTTAGCAACACCTATCTCACCTCGCCCCTCAGCCTCTCTGGATAAAACACCATGTGCTGGATTCCGTGAGGCCAAGGGGGACACTTGGCTCCTCCATGCTAGCAAATGGAAAAGGGGAGAAGGAAATGAAGAGCATCAGTCATCTCCATCTGGAAGTACCAACATTTAACATAAATGGAGGAGACATCGCTAAGGAACAGGATTTTCCAGGACCAGACTGGAAATTTAGCCATGAGCAAAGGAATCAAAGTAGACAAAAGAATGACAGGAGAGACAGAACCGAAAATACAAGGAGAGGAAGGGAGGATAACAGAAGAGTCAGAGACAGGTTTCCTAAGGTTGTTTCAGAGGCTCGTTGGCTCGGGCCCTTTCTTTCCAAATAGGCACACAAAGTCAAGTTTTCCCCATCTTGTCGCTAGTGCTCAAGAGGAGCCTGGTATTGCAAGGAGTGATGGTTGTTCTGGGCCAGCTCCTTCTAGAAAGGAGATTTTCTGTAAAAGCCCAGGTAGTGGATATGCTATTTCAGTCACCACTGCTCTACTCTGCCACCGTGGCCCAAAAGCAGGCACGCGAAGTCAACACCTAACCAATAGGCTTGTCTCCACTCCAATGAAATTGTATTTAACAGGCACCCAAGTGGCTTCGGCTGTGGGGCCTGAGTCTGCAGGCCCCTGTGCTGGATAGTGGGCAAACACATCTTCATCCTCCAATTATATACTCGCCCACAAAGCAAACTGAGGCCAGAGACCAAGAAGCTACGTCCATCTATTCTGTTACCCCAAACATAGTTGCTATTTATATACCCCAAATCCAGTCTCATTGCTGCCAGGACATGGTGCCCAAGGGCCATCTCCCCAGTCTTTCAAGATCCCATGTTGGAAATAAATCATTTGGGTGTTGGAGGGGGATGACAAAGTGCCAGGAGATGAACCTAGAAAGAGCTGGAGCTTCAGCGAGCAAAGATGAAGCACTTCAATCCAGTCCTGCCCTCAGGGGGAGGAGGACACGTATGTCAGGCTCTGCCATGGCAACCAAATGTAAACTATGGCTGTCTCATGCCATGGGCCACTGCAACACCCTGGCTCCTTCCTTGTATCACTCAAGCTGAAGCAATAACCTTCTGAGGTCAGCAGTTCACTTGTTCCAGCTCCTGGGGCGGCTATGTGGGAGCCCTCGTTTCTCTCTTTTCCTTGGTGTAAATATCTCATGTATTTGCCTACTGGTGCCCCATGTGCTGCTTCTATTGTAAATAGCTATCATTTGTATTTATTATCTCAGTGTTCTCCCCCAAGGCATAAAATTTGAATCCCTGCTCTGGTCTCTGTTGTATATTTTTCATAACCCCCACCCCTGATTCACTTCGCAAAAGTCAGGTAGCTATGGTTTCATTCTGATTCCTGGTATTTTGAAGCACAATGTAGCATTTACTGCTAATGTTCTTTTGTTCAAAATGGAGGGAAGTCCAAATTCCTGTCAATGTTGACAGGGCATTTGAGCCATCTAAACCGTAGGCATAGTAGTCCTTAAAAATAGGCCCTCAGCTGGGGCTTCAGGCTTCCTACAAATTTACTCACGAGCCTTCCTTTGAGGAAGGATGTGGATTTCCAAATAAAGATATGAAGTTTATTTTGAGCTTTGCATCTTAAGATGATCTGAACACCTCTCCTTTGTATCAATAAATAGCCCTATTATTCTGAAAGGAGAGGACTGAGGAAAGTAAAACGCTAACACCCAAATCTAAATAAATAGAAAATACTGGCCCAGAACTGTAGTCATTTTTTCGCACACCGCACACTCCACACACACACACAGAAGGAGAGAGATTCAAACTTGAACAAAGTTAGTCTTTACTAGAACAACATGGAGAAATGATGCTTTCCTAGGAAGAACCACCTCAGCCCCAAGTGAGCCAGCTAAATCAGAATATCTGTTTTTACCATGGCTTTAGGCCATGGGGCCTGTGCACTGTTACCCCGTGTTATTTTTCTCCAAGCATTAATAAAAGTTTTAAAGAAATAACTTCCACCTAAGCAGCATTATTGTTGAAGAGGACATTGGACATCCAGTGCCAAGCAGGATGACTATGAGCAAGAGGGTGCTCACCAGATTTCAGGGAAGAAGCCAGTAAGGAAGAGCACCTTGGGTTGTTTCTCCCTCAGAGGGACTCTGTCCAAAACCCTGCCTGAGTCACCCCAAACAGAAGGAAGTATGGACTCCAAGCAGCCAGCCGTGGCCATAAGAGTCGTCCATACTGCTTTCTCTGTGCTCACCTTTGACCCTCCGTGTGGCCGCCCTTCTTTCAGGCTGACCGTGGCAGATGCCACCAGTACAACAGCTCAGCTCGCCTACAGCAAAACAGTAGGAGTCCCACTTAACAGCAGTTGCCACCACCGTTGGTGTTCCTACTGTGTGCCAGGCACAGCACTGGGCATAATGCACACATGATTTCACCCTGACTACATCCCACAAGGAGCAGGGATTATCTTCATTTCACAGGTAAGGAAACCTGTGACACCTTTCAAACCAACTGGCTGGCAAGCCGGGGACTTCTAAACGCAAACGGGCTCTGTAACTCTAAGCCCCACAAGCTCTTCCCCTACTTCAGGCCTAGATTCTCCACATTTGATTTATTTTTAATTTAAACCAATCCGTATTATTCCCATCTTATACGATGCTTAGAGAAAGAATAATTATACTCTTATATTTATAGCACCAGGCCTCCGAGGAGTTTTGCTTGAGAATGGAAAGGAAAATTGATGCTCTCACCTTTCCTCTTTGCAAAGACTCAAATTTTGGTTCAGACCAGGAAGAGCAGGAGAATCATGGAAGCTTGGCACTTTTCTTTGCAAGCCGATCATTTTTGTAAAAGCTTCTACTCCACTGCCACCCAGGAAAGTATTCAGGAAGTCACTCCAGTTTTGTGAACACGCAGATAGAGACATTTTCACCAAAACCACCCCATCACCAGGCCAATCTGAGAAGTGAGGCTCTGCTGAAATCTTTACCACCATCTTCATCTTCATGGTAATGGTTGCAGATCCGTGTGGATCTATTATGTAATCCCATGCACCACCTGACACTTTACAAATGTTATTTCTGAACTCTATTTTATACATGAAGAAAGCAAGGCCCCAAAGCATCTTGGCATGGCTGGCCTACTCTAGGGGTGGCATGCAAACCACCCCAAGGCTCACCCTGCTCTGTCTTACTGGCCACCTCCCACCCCAGGTATGAAAACAAAGGCTAAATTCACCCAAGATCAGAAACACAGATGCCGCCCCCCTGCCATTGGCTGCTCCAAACCAACAGGATTGGGAATTCTTAGACTGTGGGAGGAAGAAGGCAGAAGGGCTTCCAAATATGCTGGTGTTTAAGCAAAGTTTCCAAAGGAAGCTGGAGCTGCACGCCCCGAAATCTGGAGACAAAAATCTGAATTTCTCCTAAAGTCAACAAGAAAGAAAAGCCCCCTGCTGAGGAGAGAAGCCTTGGCCCGAGATCGGGCTTCATGTGAAATTATTTTTTGTGGGTGGAGAAGAGAAGAAAAGATCAATAGAAGCCCTGGGCTAGGAGTCATGCCTCGCTGCTTGCATAAGCAGTTTAGGTTTTTATCACTCCCCAAAAGGAGCACACATACCAAAAGTCACTCTCCAGAGAGAGCAGGGGAAAAGTCACAAAGTCAATTTCATTGTTTTGGTTATTGTCTCTTTTGCTGTGCAGAAGCTCTTTAATTTGATGTAGTCCCAGCTGTTTATCTTTGCCTTCACTATCACTGCTTTGGGTGATGTGTCTGTAAAGATGTCTTTGATGTGCAAGTCCCGTAGTGTTTCGCCTATATTTCCTTCTATGTATTTTATGGTTTCAGGTCTTATGTCTAGTTCTTTAATCCATTTTGAGTTGATTTTTGTATATGGTGTGAGGTAGTGGTCAAGCTTCATTCTTTTGCATGTAACGACCCAGTTTTCCCAGCACCATTTATTGAACAAACTTTCTTTGCTCCAATGCATAGTCTTTGCTCCTTTGTCAAAGATTAGTTGACCATAAATCTGTGGGTTTATTTCTGGATTTTCTATTTGATTCCATTGGTCTGTATGTCTGTTCTTGTTCCAATACCATGCAGTTTTGATGATTATGGCTTTGTAGTATAGTTTGAAGTCTGGGAGTGTGATGCCTCCATTTCCTTCTTTTTTTTTCAGTAGAGCTTTGGCTATTCGGGGTTTTTTGTGATTCCATATGAATTTCATCAATAATTGTTCTATTTCTTTGAAGAATGACATTGAAATTTCGATTGGAATAGCATTGAATCTGTAGATTGCTTTTGGTAGGATGGCCATTTTAATAATGTTTATTCTTCCAATCCATGAGCAGGGGATGTCTTTCCATTTCTTTGTGTCTTCTTCTATTTCTTTTAACAGTGTTTTATAGTTTTCTTTGTATATTAAATAAATAAATAAATAAATAATAAAAAAAATAAGTCAGAAAGAAAAAGAAAAATACAGGATGGCCTCACTCATAGCAGGAATTTAGAAAACCTAAATAAGGAACCAGGAAAAAGACGAATTAATATAAAATCAAAATCAAAATCAACAAGCAACTATAAACCAGAGACACACTATGGTGGGGGGAGGGGTGGGGAGAGGAAGGACTAGGGTCAAAATAAGGGGGGGTGCAGTTATATGGGGAATATAACCAAAAAGAAAATGCATACATTGTGCTAAAATGAAAAATGATGTAAAAATTATATAAATAAAATGTTTTAAAAAAGAAAAAAAAAAAAACAAAGTCGATTTCAGTTTACGCATGAAATGGGTTCCCCACCAGGATGAACCCAACCT